ACAGAATGTTGGGCGGTGAAACATCAACACGTACACAAAATGGGTGTAGCGGAGATGAGGATGCTTCGTTGGATGTGTGGGCACACGAGAAAGGATAAGATTAGGAATGAGGATATCCGGGGTAAAGTAGGAGTAGCCGAAATTGAAGGAAAGATGAGAGAAAATCGGTTACAGTGGTTTGGACATGTGCAAAGAAGGCCTACTGACGCTCCGATTAGAAGATGCGACTATGGGACAGAGGTTCAGGGCCGAAGGGGTAGAGGAAGACCTAGGAAAACTTTGAAAGAGATTCTAAGAAAAGACTTAGAATACTTGGATCTAACAGAGGACATGACACAGGACCGAGCACAATGGCGTTCTAAGATTCATATAGCCGACCCCACTCAGTGACTTGGATTTTCCAAGTTTTCAACCGAGAAGTTTTCCTCACTCAGGAAATTAAGGGAACACTACGTCAACCTACATGCTCCACTCACAAAGCTTCAACATACAAGCTTCAACAAAAGAAAAATTCAAAGAACTTAGCGAAGAAGGCTTTGGTGTATTTAACACAATACGTTGAAATGAAGCAGAGCTTATTTATTGATATCCCCGATAAGTTACAAATATGTACATATACATGAGTCAAAATAAACAAACAAGAGGGAGCCTTCACAAAGGTTGCTTAGGAAAAGTCTCAGCAGTCGGTAGAGCCCCAGAAAGAGAAAGCACCGGAGGGGGATCATTCGGAGCCTCAGTACTGCATAGAACCCTAGAAGGAGGAGGCATCAGAAGTTGATCATTTGGAGCTTCATTACGCAGTACAGCCCCAGAAGACGAAGGCAATAAATGCCTTTGGAATAAACCCACAAACCTCTGATGATCAAGTAAAACCTGACCATCAGATTCCTTCATCTGGTCAAGCTTCCTCTTCATGTTTGTAGCATAGTCATGTGCGAGCCGGTGCAACTGTTTATTCTCATGCTTGAGCCCTCTAATCTCCTGTTTGAAACTCATCACTTCAGCCGCCAATGATTCAACTTGGCGGGTTCGAGCAAATAGGCGTTGGGCCATATTAGACACAGAACCTGCACACTGAACACTGAGAGCCAGAGAATCTTTAACAGCCAACTCATCAGACCGTTTGGAAAGTAGTCTCTTATCTTTGGGAGTGAGAAGGTTCCTGGCCACCACCGCAGCGATCATATCATTCTTCATCACGGAATCCCCAACGGTAAGAGGACCAGTAGGGGAGATGAATGATGGGCGCCATATGTTGTTTGGAGAAGGCGTGGCTGCCTCTTCAACAAAGTTTAAGTCAAAACGACGGTCGGAGGGGCCAGACATTTTCAAAAGTGTTGAAGAGAGAAGAAGTCGGACAAATCAAGATCTTAGAAGTGCAAGAATGGAGCTTCTACTGGTGGAGATTCAAGTGTGCTTTGGAACTTAATGACAGCCTCTATAAAATCCGTACTCGACGGACCTTCAGAAATCGAAGAGGCGCCTGCTCAGAAATCGAAGAGGCGTTTGCTCTCTCAAAAGCTGGGCTGCTTAGAGACCACGAGGGTCGATCTCAGAAATCGAAAAGGCGTTTGCTTTCTCAAAAGATGGGCTGCTCAAAGACCACGAAGGCCGATCTCAGAAATCGAAGAGGCGCTTGCTTTTTCAAAAGCTGGGCTACTCAGAGACCACGAGGGCCGATCTCAGAAATCGAAGAGGCACCTACTTTTTCAGCCTTGTCAGCACCTGTCACACGCACACTCAGCTTTGCGGAAATTACGGGCATTCTATCGAAGATTTCTGGTGAAGTAGAAAGCATATGAATCTTACTGTTCAATCACCCATTTTCCATACGCAACATTAGCTCATGGGTACCACAGATTACTTTGCCAAAGTTCTCTGACAAAGTTGAGACACGTGAAACTTGCAGCTCCCACTACATCGCTCTGACTAAGAAGGGTAAAAGAATAGCAAAGAAACAGCACTAACAAAGTTTAGACACATAAATTTTGAAGGTCTAGCTACCATATTATTACCCACAAGGGTAAAGGAACAGTACCACTGCTGGATAATTGGAAAGTCCCTGTGTGTCAACCTCTGTGTTCCGTGGCAAGGTAGACTAGCAAACATGCCCAACCTTTACTCACATTCGAGAAAACACTCCCAACAAGATTGCTGGCTCCAAAATCGAAGAGGCACCACCCTCCGAATCTCGAGGGCCAGACTCCCAACATGATTACTTTCTCAAAAATCGAAGAGACACCGCTCTCCGAATCTCAAGAGCCAGACCCCCAACAGGATTGCTTTCTCAAAAATCGAAGAGGCATCGTTCTCCGAATCTCGAGAGCCAGATCCCCGACAGGATTGCTTGTTTGAAAACCGAAGAGGCACCACTTTCTCAACTTCGAGAGCCAGACCTCCTTGGATAAAGCTTGTCTGTAATCTTCACACGCAACATCAGTTTTCCAGATACTACAGACCACTTTATCAAAGTGCTCTGACAGAGTTAAAACATGTGAAGCTGGCAGCTCCCATTACCGTGCTATGACCAAGCAGGGTAAAGGAATAGCATTACTACTTGTTGTTAGGGAGACTCCTATATATGTCGACCTCCATCCCCAATGGACAGGCAGACCTGCAAAAATGCTCAACCCTTCCTCATATCTGAGAGGGCACTCCCAACGAAGCCTTTCGAAATATTCAGCTTTCTTTCCCCCCGATAATACCTCTGCAAACAAGCTATACTAGAGCAAGAATATCTCATATCATCAGGGTTAAAAGCAAGAGTATCCCATATCATGCTTTTTCCCTGTCTTTTCCTTTGGCCTTGTTCTTACCTGCAAGACAAGGAGAAAGAGAGCAATCAGTCAGCACTTGGAATCAAGCTTCCAGTCAGGAACTGACTGCCTGGAACCCCTTACCTGACTACTTACCTGGCATTGCTCTCAAGTACTCATCTTCAACACCTTATGCTTCCAGGGAAGATACCGCATCTGCCTGAGGAACAGATAGGGCAAGTGAGAAGGATACAAGGAAGCATGTGGAGACAAGCGTAACAGCACATGTGCCGATACATCCACTACTTTGTCAAAAGCAAAAGTATCCCATATCAGCAGGGTCGAACGTACTTTAGATTTGATAGACTTGTTTTGACCCTCAAATTCTTCAGTCGGCCTTATACTCTAGAGGAAACCAGAAAACTCTCCAGCCCAGTTCAAGAATAAGCCTGTGGAAAGTTACTTCTTCAAAAGCAAAAGTATCTCATATCATCTCTTCTCATTTTTCTTCTCTTTATCCTTCATGCTGCCTGCAAGATAGGGAGAATGAGAACAATCAGCCGGAACTCGAAATCAAATTTCTGATCTGGGACTGATTGCTTGGAGCTCTGATTGCTTACCTTGTCTATCACCTCTTTCAGCAGATCCCCTAGCTCGGCGACTTGGGGGACTCATACTACATGGTTTGTATCGCGCTTGACCAAGCCTGAAACTACAAGTAAGCTTCAAGTGAAATTGATACATTACCTTGTGCATCTCCACCAGTTAAAGATACCACCCTTGGATGGAGGAAGAGTACTTCCAGAAAAGATGTCACATCTACCTATGAGACAGATAAGGCAAGTGAAGACAATACCACACTTCGGTACTTAGAAGTTTCGTGATTACGATATCATTCTCCCCCAATATTTCCTAATGTCATTTGTACTAAATCATTCACTTGTACTCACTAAAGAAGAGCTTGAACCTATGTACTTGTGTAAACCCTTCACAGTTAATGAGAACTCCTATATTCCGTGGACGTAGCCAATCTGGGTGAACCACGTACATCTTGTGTTTGCTTTCCTGTCTCTATCCATTTTTATACTTATCCACACTAATGACCGGAGCAATCTAGCCAAGATCACAAAAAGCGACCGTTTTCGCTACCTAGGATCTATCTTGCAAAAGAACGGAGAATTAGATGGAGATCTCAACCATAGAATACAAGCTGGATGGATGAAGTGGAAGAGTGCATCCGGCGTGTTGTGGGACCGTCGTAGGCCACTGACGCTCAAGGGAAAATTTTATAAGATGGCAATAAGGCCAGCCATGCTGTATGGCACAGAATGTTGGGCGGTGAAACATCAACACGTACACAAAATGGGTGTAGCGGAGATGAGGATGCTTCGTGGGATGTGTGGGCACACGAGAAGGATAAGATTGGGAATGAGGATATCCGAGGTAAAGTAGGAGTAGCCGAAATTGAAGGAAAGATGAGAGAAAATCAGTTACGGTGGTTTGGACATGTGCAAAGAAGGCCTACTGACGCTCCGGTTCGAAGATGTGACTACGGGACAGAGGTTCAGGGCCGAAGGGGTAGAGGAAGACCTAGGAAAACTTGGAAGAGACCCTAAGAAAAGACTTAGAGTACTTGGATCTAACGGAGGACATGACACAAAACCGAGCGCAATGACGTTCTAGGATTCATATAGCCGACCCCACTTAGTGGGAAAAGGCTTTGTTGTTGTTGTTGTTGTATGAATCTGCTCTAATACCATAAATGTAGTTGCGGTTCTATATATTATAAAAATTAATTTTTAGTATGTGAAGTAGCTCAACTCCTTATAAACACATGCAAAGTTCTTTAGTTGTCTCGATCTGAGATTTACACTCTCAACTTGCACATGCCGGAGTGGGTGGCTGTACAAGCACACCAGTGTACTACATAGAAGGAGTGCTCCTAGTTTGGTACAAACCTCAAACATATATTGAATTGTGAATCTTGTAAAGTAAAATGGTTAAGCAGTTTTAAGCTTTATCATCAAGATTATCGATCAGCCTCAGAAATATATGACAGCTTAGCTAACTAGTTATTAGCTACCAAAAGTAAAGCCCCTGCCTTGTGCATTAAACTTTCTTTACTACGTACAACTGCCCCCCACCGCTCATCTTGCCTTTAAAAGCAACCCTCAATCCACTTCTCTTCTAAACCAAGTGAGCTACAGACACCAAAAGCAGTGAAAAATCTAGAGAGAGAGAGAGATGGCAAGGTGGTGCATTGTGGTGGTTCTTGCTCTAGTTGTAGCTCACACAACAGCTAGAAATGTGCCTATGCCAAATGACGCTGGTTTCAAAGACCAAAAGAACTTTATTGGTGGAGCTGGTGGCTTCTCAGGCGTTGGCGACAGTGGGCTCCCATTTGCTGGAGCAGGGGCAGGAGTTGGCGGCAGTCTTCCTGGCGGACTTGGTGGCGGCGCTGGAGGGATAGGTGGAGTTGCTGGCCTTGGAGGACTTGGTGGTGGTAGTGGTGGAATCGGTGGCTTAGGTGGTAGTGGTGGCTTACCCGGTTTTGGTGGCTTAGGCGGCGCTGGCGGTTTGGGTGGTGTCGGTGGACTGGGAGGGACAAGTGGCTTGGGTGGACTTGGTGGATTAGGTGGCGCGGCTGGTGGTGTTTTGGGCGGTGCTGGTGCAGGTGTTGGTGGGGGAGTCGGTGGTGGTGTTGGTGGTGGAAGTGGTGTTCTTCCTTACCCTTGAAGACTTGAGTTAAAATGTTTGGATTATTAATGTCTACTTCTTTGTTTATTTGTTTAAGTTAGCTGTTGAAGTGTATTTGCCAGTTAATTATATGTGACTGAGATTATGAGCTAGGGTTATTTCACTTATGTCTTCCTAGCTAGTTAATGTTTCTGTCGTCTTTATTAATCTCAGTAACCCATATTGTTCTGTACTACTGTTCCATCTTTAGCGAATATTAATGAAAAAAATCCATTTGTCTCCTAATCCATGTTTCGGTTCTAAATAACATAGTATAAAATTTCTTTCAGAATTTGCCAAAAAGTACATCAAATGTTTCCCAGAATCCATCCAGCAGCTTGTTAATTTGCTTGGTGACAATGTTAATTCACAGGGCTATGTGCATTCTGTAACATTTGCATTTCCCTCAAGAATCCTCGTTTTATTTTCTTTTCAGTGTTTAAAAAAACTGAAACGGAAATCTTCGCCTTAGGATTGATGTTTTTTACTCAATATCCCCTTTTAATATAGAAAATGTTTTACTATCCATATGAGTCAAACATGAGATATTTAATTTACATGTACAAAGAATATCACTAGAACGTAATCTTGGTGACTTTTGTTTTACTTATGTGAAATCACAAATATATAGTTCATGTGAAATTGGACCAAGAGTAATTATTCCAAATTATGCAGCATCTATCGATTGTGCGTTCTACTTTTGAGTCTTGACCAACATACCTAGCATTTTTTGCATTAATTTGGTTCTCTAAATTATATCATATTAGGCCAAAAGGATTAAGATTCCACATGAATTTGAATTTTGAATGACAATAAGGATGACAACTTACATATTTTGTTCAAGTGAAGATAGAAAAAATCATGAAGGAAACTTATCCTCTTCTTGTCCCACAAAAATGATAGGATTGAAAGAGATAAGTTTTCTTCATGACTTATCCGTCTTCTATCTTCACTTGAATAACTACGCAAGTTGACATCCATACTTCTATTTAACATTCACTGAATCTAGTGGATCATCCAAGTCAAGCCAATCCTAAATATTGAGCCCTATAGTTATTATTTCATATTGATATGTTGCAATACTAGGGTTTGGGTTTGGAACATATGCATTTCTTCCCTAAGTCTATTACTTCCTCTTAGCCTTGCAAACTAAAGCAAATAACTCTTCATTTCTGTCACCTGACAATAATGTGAGGAGCTCAGTATAGACGATGACTGCAGACATCATCATAAAGTGTGATAAATTAAATGTGTCTACATTTATGAGGAGGCCCAATGTTAGCTTTGGATGGCAGACTGAATTGAATATAGTAGCCAGAAAGCATCAACGTCCGCTCAGCAGTAAAGAACAACCACATGCTGCTTCAAGTGTTCTGGTTGAGGGATCATATCATATATGCAGTAAAATGGAACATGCATATATGCAGCTGGTTATTAGATCTTACCAAACCATTTGAAGCGTGTCACATGCATGGTGAGCACAAATTTTTCCTTCATCGCAGGATATACGAGTGCTACATTTAGCATTCCATGGTCCACAAATTAAAAGGGTTTTGATTTACTTGGTGTTTTCTCAGTTTGTCTTCGTTGATTTAAGCACCAGAAGTTATTACGTCACCAAGAATATGATTAAATCGCTATGAAGTTGAAGCTGGTTAATTTACAATTTTAATGGTAGAAAACTTATAATATTCACACTAACATAGTTAGATCATCTCCAACCCTTGAATTAAAACCTAAACTTTTTAACCCAAAAAATTTAGGTTTTAACCTAGAAATAGTTTTTCTCCTCCAACTCTTCTGGGTTAAATTTTTAGCCCGAAATTATTAAAGAATGAATTTGGGATAATATTTTTCTCAAGGAAACTTTAAAAAAAATATATATATATATATGTAGACATAATTTAATTTTATGAACATTTTAACCTAAAAATATTTCGATTTCGATAAATATTGAAAATCACTAAACCAGCACCATGAAACAAAACACTACGAAAGAATAGAAAACATATAAAATATTTTTTTTAAATTACTTTAGCCGTTGAATTTAAATTTGGACAGTTGGATTTTATTTTTTTACTGTTGGATTTAATCAAATTAGATCTTAGCCATTGGACTGAATTTATAAATATAAAACTAAAAAAAATACACATATATGGTGAGCCAATCCCACGAACCCAAGGGGGATCCTGGGCTAAATTTACCCCTATTTGGGCCCAAAATATTGGTTTGGGCCGAGATGTATTCTCGGCCCGGAAGGCCTTACAAAAAGGTTATCGTGGATCGTTTAGTTCATGGGCTTCTTAACCTAGGTCGGTCAAGTCATGCTGCGAGACGAGTAATTGAATCCTGGCGCAATAAGGAGTCTCGGCAAGATATGGATAGAAGTGAATCCGGTTTGATAAAGGACTGGGTTCAAAGTTATAGTGAAAATAGGACTGGTCGAGATGGTGTTTGATTAAAAGAAGAAATCCTAATCCGAGTAGGGTTTTAACTCGGTCTAGAAAGTATCTGGTGCTATAAATAGAAGAGGTTGTGCATCGTTCAAAGCCCCTTCAATTCAACACACAACTGCCCTGCACAAATTCTCTCAACAACCTTGAGATTTTTTTCCTTTTCCTTTTTCGCCAACACATCTTCAGTTTGGATAAACAGCATTGTGAAGGCAACCGGTGATATCTTCAGTCAACATAGATAGAATTGTCACCGTAGAACCAATCGGTCTCGCAGCATCTTCAGTCGGCATAGATAGCACTGCGTCGAAGGTGACCGGTTATCTATCCAAGTCTCGGTCGAAAAGGATTTCCGAATCCTTATTGGTCGAGGTCATCTCATTAGTCTTCTCAGCGAAGTGAGGTGTTATAGTTTATTAGGCTTAGCACATTGCACGCCGAGTTAGTTTATGATTGGATACTTTCAAGTGGGATTTAAAGTTCGGCATTCCGACGGCCGAACCACGTTTATTGTTAAGACATATATCCGCTTTGAGTATTTGTGCCTTACACTTTGGTGTCAATTCGGCGTGAGTTTACTCTGACGAATACCTTCATTGTGACCGAATCCGACTGCGATGATTTGTGAACTTCGTAAGAATAGTAGCCTTGTCTTCAAGTTCGAGAACCCAAGAGGCCGAGACGTGTTCCTTCCTCGGTCGCAATCGCGAGACGTAGAAGTCAACCGCGCACCCAACGCAACATCAACAAATTTTACTTGTCAGCTGAGCTTGACCGATGAGTTAGCACGCCCCGCATGCAATCGAAGGACATAGTTAGCTCATAAAATACTCGGCATGCGCACCACGTAGGCTTGGTAGTTTTTAGGGTCAACATTTTAGCACGCCCAGTGGGACCCAATGCTAAACTACGAAGTTCATGCCAATTGAAACACGATCGGTTAAAAAGAAAACATCTATGGGAAAATCAACAACCGATTTGCCAATTCAAAACATAGGACAAAGTGTATCACAGGCATAGAATCCCCTTAGTGCTGTGACACCTGAGTCCACAAGCGCGACTCGCCGAGAAAAGGAAATTGGTCTCGACGGTCAGCTTTACAGTCTAGAAATCCCTAACAAAAACACATGCGTTCTTAATGAAGGGATAATGGAGGACTGTGATGAGGATGGTGGCGAAGGCTCTGATCCACCAACAAGGTCGTTTCTTCGAAGACGACTTGACGAACAGTCTAGGGCGGTTGAACAGACGTTTAGTCTAAGATGATAAATTGCACGACGTGATACGCAGTAACAGTAAGGTACAAAACAGATTGCTTGAAATATTGGTTAGCAAGGTCTGCGACGACAGACCATTCGATCTTTCCTGGCAATTGCCACCAAGGAATAATCTGTTGCCAGTAGTATAGGTCAAGCCAATTCCTACTCGGCTCAAGCCAATTGACTTAGAAAAAAAAAAGGATCGAGTAGCAGGACAGACGGACCTGACCAGAGAGTGGAAGTAACGTCCGTCGATATAACCGAGGTCCAGCGGATGATTGATTCGGCTATGAAAAAGGGGCCGAAGTTCCCTAAATTCATCCATCCATATCCAGCTTACGTGGAACGGTTTAAATATCCTAAAGGTTTCAAAATTCCAGATTTTAGTCTTTTCGCTGGAGAATCGTCTCTATCTTCGTTAGAACATGTGGCTCGTTTCACCGCGCAATGCGGAGATGTCAACAGTGATTTTCACAAGCTGCGGTTGTTCAACTTTTCATTGACAGGTTCAGCATTTGCCTGGTATATCAACATTCCACCTAATTCCATCCAAAGCTGGGAGGAATTGGTCGAGAGATTTCACGAGCAATTTTATCGGCCAGGATGGAAATGTCAGTTTCTTCGTTGGCAAGGATGGCTCAAGCATCTGATGAGTCACCAATGGATTATCTTACCAGATTTAAATCGGCCAAGAATTAGTGCCGAGTACCTCTCCTTGAAGTCGAGTTTGTTAGACTTGCTTTGAACGAACTCGATGTAGAATACAAAAAGAAATTTTTGGGGGCAAACTTTCAGGATATGTATGAATTAGCCCAGCATGTCGAGCAATATGACTATTTGCTCCGAGAAGAGAAGATGTCGAAACCCTCATCTCGAGGGACGATTTACAAAAATTCTACGGTCAATTACGCGTCGACCGAAGGCGAGGAATCTCAGTGCGTCAGCGTGGACACAGCCGAGATAGTAATAGATAAACTATACGTGTGCAAGGCATTGACTCAAATTAATTCCAAGGAGGTCAAAACCCGCTCAACCACTGAATAAACAGCAAAAACATCAAAAGTTTATACCTTTGATATCACAAAGGCCGAATCAATTTTTGATCAATTGCTATCAGCCAAGATCATTAAACTTCGGCCAGGGCATAATATTCCCAAGGCCGAAGAACTTGAAGGAAGGACATATTGCAAATACCATAACTCGACAAAGCATGCAACAAACAATTGTGTCATATTTCGTGATGATATCTAGAGCTGGATTGACAAAGGCAAGTTAAAGTTTCTTGAAA